AGATGTGAGATGTATAAAACAGGCCTTAAACTTAATCTCCCTTGGAAAACTGTCCATTTGTCCCCGAGGCATTATCCATTCACAATGCAGGTAAAGGTTAACTGAGGCAAACATCCCTCATCTGAAGTCGATACAAACATCTTTTGAAAAGTAAGTTGACTGATTACAGTTTTTTTTTTTATACATGCACACAACCTGCGCTTCAATTTTGGATGATTTTCAGAAAGTGGTAAGAAAGGCTTCTGTCTGCCACACCTACATCACATAACAGTAACGTAATATTTGCCATCTCGTCAGTTAAACACGCACAGAAGAGGTGCAATTGCTGCAAAAAATGATCAGTAATACATTTCTTGCCAACAGAATGTCTTATTTGACAAAACTCCCTCCTTCAGCAGGTATCACTGAAAAACAAAGGTGCAGACATGCATTAAAGTGTGAGCTCTGTGTGTCCATGTAGTCGATACTTTCATTTTATGTAACTTTTTAAAGAAACATTGATTTAGGATGTTTTCACACCTGGTTTTGATTGCTTGGTGAAAATTAGAGTTTAATTCCCAATGGTCATAACGCCATGTGTCACTTGCACAATGCAAAATATCATATTGAAATCTTTCACTTTTGCTTTAAATCAGGTTCTAACAAGTGCTAATGCAGTGCAAGCACACAAAACTGAGGATATAACTGCTATATATAGTCTATGATGCAATTATTATTAAAATGAATTTTTAGACCAGTTTAAATTCAGACCAGGTGCAATTCCAAAGAAAAATGGCATATAACAGGCAAGCTGAAACAGATTTGAAATCAACACTTTACAACCTAACGCTTGAAGGGGCTACACACGCATAGCAAGCTAAATATGGATGTTGGACGTAATAAAGAATTCACATTTTGGAAGCAAGAGCCATATTAAATCAGTCTGAATCGGTCTAGTTCTGGCATAGAGCTGGGTTCTGTTCACAAGAACTGGAAACCGAGAAAGAGCCGAGCAGAGAACCAGTTTCCCAACTTTACACCTGTTCATTGTGTCAGAATCTCCAGGGCAAAGCTCAGGAAGGTATGGAATTCTACACAAACACACCCACACGTAACAATAAACAAACTCGAACATAAACTCCATCTGTCGTCCTCTCTCAAACGTTCGCAGGGGCCGTGTTTAAAAAGGTGTTAAGGAATGATTGGCATTTCTCATGCTGAGTTGAAAGGAAAGTCAGAAGAAAGATCAGGATTGTGGGTAACCCTTGGCAAACCTGTAACTTCCAACAGAAGACGTCAAAAACATTGGAAAAAGCGGTGTGTGTGTGTGTGTGTGTGTGTGTCAGTGGAACATTTCATGGGAAACGGGTTTAAGGTAACAGCTCTTTGTTCAGACTGAACTGGCAACATCCCACAGGAAGTTTTGACGTTGCAAGGTCTGGGATACAGGATGCAAAACACAATATTATGTGTATGTGCTCAGTAGCTGTGACCCTCTTATTAGCAGTGCTTGCTCAAGTAAGCATTACTATTCATACTGCTCATATTTAGGGTATGAACAAGCCCCTAGCCCTAAATATTAAATTAAATATTGCTGTAACCTGTGCTGGTTTTTGGGGCTCTAGATGAGATCATGAAAATGGGCCTCACGGGTACGAAATTATTCATAGCATAAAATATCCAAAACCCCACTAAAATATGATGTGTGGTTTCGTTCTTCAGAAAATATTCAGTTGTTAACAGTATATTAGAACGATTTCTGAAAGATCATATCACACTAAAGATTTGAATAATGGCTGCTGAAAATTGTTTTGCCATCACAGGTTTAAATTACATATTAAAATATAATCAAATAGAAAACAGTTATTTAAAATTTTAATAATATTTCGCAATACCGTTGGTACTTAATTTTGATCAAATAAATGCAAATTTTTTTCTAAAGACAAAAAAAAAAAAAAAACAGACCCCAAAATTAGTAATTATAAAAATATTTATAATGCATGTTTTTATTATTGTAATCTAATAATCACTTAGTTATTGTGTCAAAAGCAGAAATAAATGTAAAAATCAAACTGGTCACAAGACACCAAATTGAGATCAGCAATTTACCCAGACAAACTAATCTAATCAATTCACTTACTGAGACTGAACGTCAACTCCATATCGAAAGAGAGCAGCACTAGATAACCTTATCAAGTTTCAAAACACACTGTAAAATTTTAAAATCAACAAAGTGTCGTTCACAAGAACCCAGATCGATCACATAACACTCAAAACAACAGATGATAAAAAAAAACTATATAAACAGCATTTAAATTTCACACAGGTTTTTTAACATTAATATGAGTTCCCCTAGCCTGCCTACAGTCCCCCAGTGGCTAGAAATGGTGATAGGTGTAAACCGAGCCCTGGGTATCCTGCTTCGCCTTTGACAAAATGAAAGCTCAGATGGCCCAATCTGGAATCTTCCCTTTATGTCGTCATACGGGAAAAGGTTACCTCCCCTTTCTCTGCTTTTCCCACCCAGAGCATTTGGCCCGCCCATGAGAAAATGAGCTACTACCGTGCGAGGCGAGCGCAATATTTTTTTTTCCTCGAGAGACATCATGGCTTGCAAACCAGCGAAGGCATGACAGTTGCCCTGCCTCTCTCCTCCTCATTAGCATTTAAAGCTACAGACACAGAAATGGCACATCCTAAGGAAAGCTCTTTGAGGGACTGGCTCGGAGTGGCTCAAATTCTGCACCAAGGCTGAATTTCGGGAAAGAGACTTCAGATACAGTACTAGGGACCACTTAGGCCTATATAAAAGCATCCAAAAAGCAGCATGTCATGGGACCTTTAAGCATCATAGTTGCTATATTAATGCAAATCATGTCCTTTAATGAGAAGACAATCCCATAATCCACAGCGACAAGCTCAGTAAAGAAAAGCATTTACAAAAATAATCAGTTTTAAAGTATCATGCCATTATAGATTAGCAATATGCTACATTAAACCTTCCTGAAATCAACTGTGAGTCACATTCTCCAATGTGTAATACTAATTGCATCATGATGGTCTGCATGCTGCCTATTTAATTTCAGTCTAATTTCAGGGCGAGTGTGACGGGTTTAAATAATCCATCCTGTTGGCTTTTTGTACAGTCTTCGGCAGCAGGTAGGTACCGCACCCTCAGAACAATCACATAAAAACTGTTTATTTTTTGTGGTTATGCACCATATCGATCATTAAGAAAGCTGCAGTGTGTTGTGTCAGCCCGGCGTGTGTGTGTTTGAGTGGATTCATGCTTCAGTAAATGGGTGGGGTTGAGGTGTGGTGTGGTCTCACAATGGTCTCCCTGCTATTACAGCCCATGTGGAACCTTTACAATTCATCCTCTGCTTAGCACACACAAAAAAAAAAAAAAAACATAAACAAGGCATAATTCACATGCATTCAATCCTGGTTTTGATCCCAAGCTCCCCCAGAAATGTACTGCGCGCTTTTAAATAAACACTTAAGACTTGTACACACAATGCAAGAACTTAAAGTGACCTCAAGTAGAGACCAAATTTTATCTACATGCTGTGTTGAAATTCCAGCTCCGGAAAACTCATGACTTTGCGATAAACAAAGCAAACATTTTCTAGACCTCTCTCAGCACACACAATAATATATAGGTATTTGAGAGACATATCTCAAGAAGATTAAGGGTCATTTGATGTGTAAGCCTTCCATTCTCTGGTCCAACACAAAAGAAATAAGCCACAGAAAAGGAGTGAGATGATCAAAACTCATAGTTGGAAAAATTAGAGACTCATACTTTTTGAAAGATATTTTGTATTATTTTTAAAGCTGCTCATTGCTGAGTTAAAACTTATATGCTAGAGAATGCTGAAAACTAGTTGCCCAAACTAATGACTTCTAGATTGTAAAGGGATTACTCTACTAACTACACTGTCTGAAATGAAATGACTGAATGTCTGCACACATTACCCACTACTGAAATCACTTCCAAAACACATAGCCAACATTTACTAGTTGGGCAATACAAGGACGGATAAAGCATGTAATATCACATACATTTTAAGCACCGCTTAAATACAAACCTAAATCAATACCTCACTGTTAGTACAGTAGTTAGGTTAGATTAGTTGGCATGTTGCTGGATCAAATGTAATAAAATGGTTGAGAGACATTTTCCACCAAGGCATAACTTACATACTGCAATATTCTTATTTGCAAATGTCAGTATATTCAAACTGACAGAAGTATTTTCATGTGGCAAAACAGCTTGTTATAACCACAAATGAGCGTTTAAAGCTAGTGACACCATTAATAATCAAATGCTTCAATGAGCATGCTCCGGCCAAATGATTTGGAAGTTAAAGTTACAGTCATCTTGATTAAAACAATGTTTATCTTTGAAATAGTAACACTTCAGCTTTAATATGCAATGTTAAAATACACTTTATCCCAGTTTAATATGCAAAGTGAAAAAAGCAAGCAGTTGCTAGTTTAACAGTGTTGGTCTGGTACTTTTCAAAATGTACTGATGTTGGAGGGAAAGTGGCAAATAATCTTAAACCTCCTGTAACTCAAACAGTAGAGCAAGTCGCTAGCTATGCCAAGGTCACGGGCTTGATTCCCAGGGAATGTATGAGCTGATAAAATGTATACATTGCAATACAAGTCACTTTGGATAAAAGCGTCTGTCAAACGCATAAATGTAAACACATATTTAAAAATGGGTTAATTCATGCTGATGTTGTTGCTGGCTTCCTACATTAATTTCCAAAACACACTGGCCACAACATACCTTTCATTAGCCAAGCTGCACTTCCCCTTTCTTTCTTTAATTTCCCTAAGACTCATCTGCTTACACAACCTGTTTATGTTATAATTGATGTAAAACTAGTGGCAAATATGAAAACAAATCTTCCAAGTGAGAAAGAAAAGACAAATAGGCCCATCAGTTAAAAAAACCTTCTGAAGAACAATGGGCAGATCTAAAGAGTACATGATAGCAAAAGTACTACCTGTGACAAGTGATGATTTTGGTAGTTCTACAGGTGAACCAGTGGCAAGCAGGTCTCCATGTATCTCTGTAGCGCGTCGGCGGGTTTTCCTGCGCTGCCTCTTCAACCACTTGAAGGCACGCCTGAAGGATGCTGCCCTTCTCCTGCCCCTTTTGCCCCTGCCGCCCTGCCGGTCCTCACTGAACACCTGCAGCATATCTGGGGGAATCAGATCCCCTACAGACTCACGGCCAGATGACATTGTACAGCCTGCCACAAAAACAGAAATAATTCACATGAGTCACTGTTTTGTAAAGCCTCTTTTTGTCAGGTTTGTAAATTACCTGGACACTACACCAAGGAATTGCTAAAAAAAGGAATTGCTCACTAGCATTCACACAACAATCATCTGTAGGTTTCTTCACACATTTTTTTATAGGTCCCATAAAAAAAAATGATTTCTTCGTTCAGAATCATGAAACGCTCAAGTGCTGTATCTCTATGGGAAAAGCAGAAGTTACAGAAAGGAAAAAAAGAATCATCTAATCCACAATTAAACAAATAACATTTCTTCCAGTCTGGCAATGCTGGAAATTCAACCTTAGACCTCACCTTCTGAAGAACAATGGGCAGATCTAAAGAGTACATGATAGCAAAAGTACTACCTGTGACAAGTGATGATTTTGGTAGTTCTACAGGTGAACCAGTGGCAAGCAGGTCTCCATGTATCTCTGTAGCGCGTCGGCGGGTTTTCCTGCGCTGCCTCTTCAACCACTTGAAGGCACGCCTGAAGGATGCTGCCCTTCTCCTGCCCCTTTTGCCCCTGCCGCCCTGCCGGTCCTCACTGAACACCTGCAGCATATCTGGGGGAATCAGATCCCCTACAGACTCACGGCCAGATGACATTGTACAGCCTGCCACAAAAACAGAAATAATTCACATGAGTCACTGTTTTGTAAAGCCTCTTTTTGTCAGGTTTGTAAATTACCTGGACACTACACCAAGGAATTGCTAAAAAAAGGAATTGCTCACTAGCATTCACACAACAATCATCTGTAGGTTTCTTCACACATTTTTTTATAGGTCCCATAAAAAAAAATGATTTCTTCGTTCAGAATCATGAAACGCTCAAGTGCTGTATCTCTATGGGAAAAGCAGAAGTTACAGAAAGGAAAAAAAGAATCATCTAATCCACAATTAAACAAATAACATTTCTTCCAGTCTGGCAATGCTGGAAATTCAACCTTAGACCTCAGTAATGCACAATGTGTCTCATGTATTACAGAACTAATATTCCATTGCTATAATGCAAAGACATGTCCCTTCAGATTTTTGTAAGCCAACTTCTAAAAATAAATATTTGTCTGTGTAAATTAAAGTTCAGATGAAACTGACATACCAACTGATATTTTCTTCCAAATCGTGATGTATTCAGGAGTGAAATTACTGACAAAGAAAAAAAAAAAAAAAATGTATGATGAGGACTTCCAATCAGTTCAATCCATCAGTTGATGATTGGATTCTGAGATGTGGGTGTTGCACTCAAAATGTAATGCAATCTTACAATTGTTTGTGGAGGGGCGGGGTTTAAGCAGACTAAATGACTGGATAAATCTGGCAAATATCACTGGAGAAAATCTTTCGTTGTCACTAGAAGATTGAGACGATTTGACAATTTGATAAAAAAAATTGCAAGGATAAAATATAAAAAAATGAAACATTAAAATGTAACATATCATGCATTTACAAAATAGATAATTTTTTTCATTTAATGCCAACTTTAAGTAGCATCAGTCCAGTCAAGTCGCAGCTTCTAGATCATTTGATCATCATCATCATGTGCAACCGATCATATTTTGCTGAAAAGACCTATCAAATGTACTCTTTTCCACAAAGCAAAAATTACCGCCCCAGTAAATGTTTATTACAATTTTTCCTTTGTTTATTAAAACTACAATGATGACTATAACTATATATATCTTTAATAGTCATTCTAGTTCTATGATCTTAGCAATGTCCACACCACAACTATAACAATATCGAGAGGAACAATATCTTTGGAATCACTTTCAGGACATTTTTTTTAGTTGATGAATGATAAAAACATTGACGGCCAATCAGAATCCACCCAACTTTAAAGAGTGCACATTTAAAGTGACAGACAACAAAACTGCAGTGCACTATAGTTACCTGTCTAGTTATTATTCTAAGTGTGAACGAGCTTTTAGTTTGGATTTAAATCCAGGGCCATTCATTATAAAAATGACATGACATACCATAAGTCTCTAAAAACTGTTTATTTTTCCCTTTTGAACATATCTTACATTAAGAAACCAAATGAACCTGTACTGCTACCTGTGTCCCCTCAGAAAAACAACTTCCATGGCATCCTGCTTGAAGAGAAAAATGATTCTTGTTCTAAACATGTCTAACAACAGAACAGAAGTGGAATTGTTACTGACATCGGTGGTCCACGTTAATCAGGGTCTGATCCTAATACTGTACAATCGCACACCAAAATTGCAATTGTGTCTCATTCCTGAACACCTAGTCATGGGCTCCACCCTTAAACACACAGATACTGATACACACCCTCTCACACAGAACACATTCATGATGTGTAAAACATTCAAACACAAGGCATTATATCTTGAATAAACACACCCAGCAGATGTATTTACCAAAGGAGGTCATTTTACTCAATTAATAGAGATGCACAAACATTCACAAAGAGCAGAATTTCACACGAATGCACATGGCATATGAAGTAAACAGCAACTTGAAAATGATGCTGTTTAAAATAAACAGAGCTCCTTCGAAGCTGGACAGCTAGAGTGAGGGATGCTAGAGAAAAAGAAAAGCAGGAAATGTACATTGACACACTAACACGACGTTAAAAATGAGGAAGCTGGAGTGGATTTCACGTGTGCACGTGAAACTGAGAAGACATCCTCACGTGGCTGCAGAGCTCTGGTTAGCAGGTCAACAGACCAATCAGAGTGCAGCATTCTGACTCACTCCGTCACCATGGAAATGTGCAGAAACAAACAGAGCAGAACAGGCATGCAGCGGTGCCACAGACTTTCACTCTTCATTGTCATCACATCAGTGTGATCCACAGTTACAAACACTGACTCACATGTTCTCTGCGAGCTGCAGATGATTCATTTGCATTTAGTTATATAATATTAGTTATTATAATATACATGTTAGGAACTCATTTGCATGACATCACAGGTCTGTTCTGTTTGGATGTTCTGCCTGTGGTTTAATCCTCACACACACACAAGCACACTTGCAGACAATTACTGTACACACTCCCATACTGAAACTCTCACAGTCCTGAGAAAAATGCACTTCTATTCCAACAGGCGTGTCTGTGTGTCATGTGATTCAACAGTTTTAGGGTGGATTCAAATGTTGTACTCAAACTAAAAAATTTGTGGTATTCCCCAAAAACGGATTACTGCTTTATGTGTGCTGCCTACCATTAAAAAACAATTATATGAAACGGTACACATTACGCAGTGATAAACATTTCAAGCAGTGTTATGCTTGTATGTTATTATCTAGATCACATGACCTCATTAGGTCACAAGCACACTTGCAGACAATTACTGTACACACTCCCATACTGAAACTCTCACAGTCCTGAGAAAAATGCACTTCTATTCCCCAACAGGCGTGTCTGTGTGTTGTGATTCAACAGTTTTAGGGTGGATTCAAATGTTGTACTCAAAAACAAAAAAATTTGTGGTATTCCCCAAAAACGGATTACTGCTTTATGTGTGCTGCCTACCATTAAAAAACAATTATATGAAACGGTACACATTACGCAGTGATAAACATTTCAAGCAGTGTTATGCTTGTATGTTATTATCTAGATCACATGACCTCATTAGGTGCATGTTATCATCATCATTATGCGAGATGGCTGTTTTGCAATTTTAATCCAGTTTTGTGTAAAAACATCAGAACATCTCTTGCCAGTCCAAACAAATATGTCAAAACAAGGAATTAAAAGATACTGTAACTGCTTTCTGTTTGTTTACTGCACTGAAAATGGAACGCTGAGTGCACTGCATTATGGGATACAGAATTGCACTAATATTTTAGCAGTGCTATGTTATCATACTACCTGATCATACTTACTATTGCTGCAGTATTCAGTATGCACACTGTGCATAGATGGCCTACTACATTTGCCAAAATGTAAGATGCAATGCAATGGGACGGTTTGACTTTCATTTTGAGTGGGATGGCGAAACAGTAGTAATATAAAATGTAACTAAAAATTATTATTATTTTTTTTTACATAAAATAGGGTTAAAAATAATGTGTTTATTTACACTACATAACTAAACACGTAATTAAACATGCAGAAGGAGTCATGTGACAATACATCATACTAATGTTTGAAATAATGCCTATGGTCTCTATCTGTTTTTTTTTTTGCATATTGTAAATGCACATTTTTGCATATGTAATATTTAAAGAAGAGTCTTTAATGTTCACCAAAGCACTGACCAAAAATACAGTTAAAAATAGCAATATCGTGAAAAATATTTACATTTAAAAGAACCATTTTCTATTTCAATAAATTTTAAAATGTAAAGTAGAAAGTTTTAGCATTATTACTCCAGTCTTCAGTGTTGTTCATTATACTTCAGAAATCATTCTAATATGCTGATTTGGTGCTCAGATTTCTTATCATCAGTGTTGAAAATGGTCGTGCTGCTTAATATTTGTGGAATTTTTATTCATCATTCTTTGATTACTAGAACGTTTTATGCTTTTGAAGCATTTTTTAATGTAACATCTTTACTGTCAATTTTGGCATCCTTGCTGAATAAAAGTATTAATTTCTTTAAAAAATAAGCCTTACTGACCCCAAACTTTTGAATGGTAGGGTACATACTTTATTTGGCAGGACTAGCATGATAGTATGCATAACTACACTCCCTAACTAAGTGTGAGGTGTGTGCAAGAGATAGACACCTGGCTTATCCTCTCTGCTGTAGTGTGCGCAGGTGTGTTATCCGTTTTTTTTTGCATATGTAATATTTAAAGAAGAGTCTTTAATGTTCACCAAAGCACTGACCAAAAATACAGTTAAAAATAGCAATATCGTGAAAAATATTTACATTTAAAAGAACCATTTTCTATTTCAGTAAATTTTAAAATGTAAAGTAGAAAGTTTTAGCATTATTACTCCAGTCTTCAGTTTTGTTCATTATACTTCAGAAATCATTCTAATATGCTGATTT